GAGGCTTTTCCATTAGTAAAATGAAACTAAAAAACATAGAAATGATGGGATTTGCCAAAACTACCACAGTAATAACTATTTTAGGAAAGAAAAATGGATGTTCAAACCAGTGGCTGAAAGTTTGATGAGAATCAGAATAGTTACATGATCTGAAAATATCTCCCCATAAGATTCTTATTAAAGGAAAAAAATAGTAACTTTATAGTAGAAACACCTGGAAAACACAACTTTAACCAAGTGATCTAAATTAACATATGGGACAAATCATATCATGTGTCTAGTGATATAATGCACTAAAAAGGATACAATATCACTTCTGTGGTGTCACTGCCAAAAGTGCATAATCATGAAGAAGTATCTGACAACCCCCAACTGAGAAACATTCAGCAAAACAAATGACCTGTACTCTTTAAAAACATTAAGGTTTATAAAGACAAAAAAGACTGAGTAATTGTTCCAGATTGAAGAGACATGGTAACTAATTCAAACACATGATCCTGGATTGGATCCTAGACCGAAAAAAATACTTATTTTTCTCCTTTTGATATAAAAAACAACAATGGGAGAACTGATGAAATTTGAATCAGGTCTATAACTAGATAATATATTGTATCAAAATTAATTTCCTGGGGCCAGCCGAGTGTTTCAGTTGGTTAAGAATTAGCGTAAGAGCGTGAGCTCTGAGCAACAGGCCGCCAGTTCGATTCTCACATGGACCAGTGATGCTGCACCTGAGCTGAGCTGCCAACAGGTAGCAGGATGGCTCAGCTGGTGAGAGCACGGACTCCTAACAACAAGACTGCCTGTTCGATGGTGGGCTATGCCCACCTGTAACTAGGACTGAACTTTGCACCTTGAGCTGAGCGGCACGACTGGACTTGAGGCTGAGCTTGCTGCGCCCTCCACAAATAAGACTGAAGGACAACTTGGCTGTTCCCCTCCCCCAATTCCCCAATAAAATCTTTAAAAAATAAATTAATTTTCTGATATTTTTTATTCTAATGCCCTGTTTTTAAGAAACATACACTGAAATATTAGGGGTAATGGGCCATCACATACTCAACTCATTCTCAAACAGTTCAGAAAAATATCAATTTTGCATGTGTAGGTATGTGTGTTATTTGTATATATACATAAATGTATAGAAAGAGGAAAATAAAGCAAATATAAAATCTAACATTTGGGGAATCTAGGTGAACAATATATAGCAATTTCTTCTACTAGGTTTTGCAACTTTTCTGTGTGAAATTATTTCAAAATAAAAAGTTTTAAAACTTACAAGTCATAAAAAGATATGGCTTATTTTTTATTAAAAAAAGATATTTGGTTGCCATTAAAAATTATAGATTGTAAAGGAATAAAGCCAGATTTAGATACAGATACAGAAAGACATTATGAAGATCTATAATGTCTTTTAGACATTAAAGCCAGCAGTCGCCATGAGTGGCCGTCCAGAGGCCGGCAACTGATTTGTCTCACCCGGGAAGAGCGCAATGATGGTGCCAGCTTGGGCCAGTAAAGCAACATCCTCCACAACCAGACTGAAGAACAAAACAACAGCAACTTGTCTGTTCCCCTCCCCCTGATTCTCTAGTGCTATTCCCCTCCCCCAAATTCCCCAATAAAATCTTAAAAAAAAACCACCTCTTTCACAGCTATAAGAATATTTTCCAGAAATGTAGATAATATCCTAGAGAAAGCAAATGACCAAGAATATCATGGACATGAATCTTATCATATTAACCACTTTCCATCAGAATACCTGACAGGTTCCTCCCATCTCCATTACAATAATCAGGGCACCCTCAACCTTCCAAACAATAATTGAAAAAACCAACCTTCAATCTCCCACCACTCAGTTCCTCACTTAATTTCAGCCTGGCATCTACAGTTCTTTTCAAATCTCGTTGCAAGCGACGTCCGAAGTCCCTGAACATGGTTGACCCTCCAGAGAGGACAATGTTCTATATTAGTGGAGAAAAATAAATAAATATGACCTTTATTTAAAAAGAATAAAATTTTAAAGCTATAAGAAATGGTACTCGATCCTATTATATACTTTTGAAGAGAGGTGTGTTTAATATTTACTCAACAATGGACATAAAATAAAGACATTTTTTAAAAGTAATATTTAGTTAACAATGGACATAAAATAAAGATGTTTTTTAAAAGTATGACCTTGAATAACAGTTTAGCTGTAAATACTGACCTTGTAGAGAGGACGTCTGACATCAATAGGACAATTCTGAATTACTTCATCTACAACTTCTGAGATAGGCTGAGTAAAGTCTGGGTTAGCAAACTGAAAAGTAAGTAAGGTTGGATATATGATAGAGATTAGATCAGTACTGACTTAAATATTACAAATAAAAATTGTTTTCAAAAAGTTATTTTTAACTTCATTCCATTTCCATAATGATTTAAACTGTCAAACTTTCCATCTCAAACCTACCACCCCCCAACAAGAGTCTGTTTAAAACAAACAAAAAACCTGTGAAGTATGTTGTATAACACACCTTTACTTACCACCTCAAATAAACTCTACAACCTGAGAACCTGTCAACAGCTTTAAAAAGATTTAATCCCAAAAACCTGGACATAAAATATTATTAACAAATTGTCAGAAAATATGTTCTATAATATTCATTTAAAAAGTGTTTTCAACTTGTTAATATAGAATTGTAAATTTTCTACATGGTCCTTTGTTAGCCATACTCTTCAGTATTTACCTAAAACAATACACACACACACACACACACACACACACACACACATGAGATTTACCTTCCCATTATACTTTCCTCACCTTTAAAATAGTTTATGTACTATATATACCATGAGCAAGTAAAGGCAAATATAGGGTCATTCATTCCCATGCTATATATTTCTGCGCCCTTCTCATAGTTTTTAATCGAGAATATGCAAAAATAAAAATTTACAAAATCTTCAAATAGTCACATAATCTGGATCCACCCACAGAAATTCTGATTTAGAAAGAAACAAAGTCTTATTTGAATATATCTTGAAAACGCTCAGGGACTATAGTGCTGTAGAATCCCAGATGACAACAGATAGAATGATATGAAGCAAAGCAACAAGCAATGAATTTTTAGTAAATAAAGAAAAAAAATTAACAATTAACAAATTAACAGCAAATTGTTGGAGTTTATTCAACACTTTAATACTAACAGTCACAACCTAGGGTCCCTATCAAGAACATTTTTAGGCCTTTTCTTTCACTTTGAGCAAAAGGATCAGTCCTGCCTCTAACTGCTCCCTGATCAGGTCTTCATATTATTGAGAGTGTATATCAAGGCAGGAATATTCTTTCTCTTGTGAAAAATTTATGGAGAATAAATCCAAGGAAATACATTAATCCAAATGGTTTTATCAAAAAAATTAATTTCCTTTAAAAAAAACCCAACAAAGTACCAAACTCATTCCTTCTAAAAACAGTTCTTTCTAGTATTTGTGATGAATTTAGCAGTTCAAAAATAAATATCCTTACTCTTTCATACATTTTATCTTCAGTGTTCAAGTTCAGACGCCTACACTTTCATCTAATCCAAACAAAGAACAGAGTGAATCCTTCAAACGACAGAGGAACTATGACACAGAAATATCTAAAGCTACAGGAGAAAGAATATTAAAATTCACTTGGGAAGTGACACAGTTCATACAATACAAAAAACAGGTCTATTCTCAGAAAATGTGGTGAACTAAATACGTATCTAATCTTGTTCTTTCTTCTCTTTAGTAGTAGAATCACTACTAAAGAAATTTTTAAAAAAAGGCATAATCCCAAAAGTATGGAAAAACAGAATAGGAAGAAACAGCAACACAATCTGGTAATCTGCAATCTGGAAAGCAGATAAACAAGATGATGCGCTCCCTCCAGAACATGTACTAAGTCAACAGTAGGGAGAGCCAAGAATCAAGCTATTTTGTATCACAAATGCCACAAAAAACTGGCCGCACCTATTAGAGCTGAAATTGAGGTGGAAGAAGGGCAAGGAGGAAGACTGGTTGAAAGTCTCTCTAAAGCAGTTAAAACCCCAGATCTTCTCCAAAGAAGTCTATCAAATGCCTCCTCCTCATTCAAGGAGAAAACTGGCTAATCTATTCTCTAAAGGGAATAAATTAGAGAGTCTCTGGACTCTTATACACAGCTACAAGGAATGAAAGCTAAAAGGGGGATTTAAGTAAAGGCATGCAGCCTACTGCTGACACACAAATGCCAACCCTCCTGCCCCATTTGCCAACCTTTACCTTCCCAGGTAGGAATCTTCTCTGGGAACTGGCCTACCCAAAAAGATCTAAAGAAACACACATAGGGCATTCCTCCAAAGAAAAGCCATAGTCAACAAGCCCTACCACCAAAGCTCAGGTTTCCAATCCTCTTCTTAATGTCTTCTTTCTAAATAAGCGAACCCCTCCAAAAGTCTCTAGCATGAAAAATACAGGAATCAAAACAAAGAAAAAAGGCAACTTGAAAGAAAGACTATGCAGAAAGACAATAACTACAAAACACCTATCATTAATAGCCTCAGAGAACCAAAAGATATGCAACCATAAAACAAGAACAGAGTATCATAAAAAAGGACTATTCAAAAGCAGAAGTGGGGGAAGCGCTTGAAAATTAAATGTTATCAGAAATAAAAAATTCAATAGAAGGTTCTGAGGTAAAATTAAAGATACAACCTAGAAAACTGGTATAGAACAAAACAACAAAGAGCAACTAGAAGAGAAAACAGCACATCAGAATGCTAGGGGACAAGGGAAGATCTACAAGCATCAAAGAGAAGAAAACAGGTCCGATACAAGGTTTAGAAATCATTTTTTTTTTTTACTTCAAGTTACAATGGAAAGCAATGGCTTCAAAATGCTGAAAGAAAGTGATTTCCAATCTAGAATGCTACACCCAAACTATCAAACAAGTATAACGGTAAAATGAATTCATTTTCAGACATGCAAAGACTTAAAAGTTTTCATTTCCCATGCACCTTTCTATCAGGAACCCTATCAACAGATGATCACTAACAAAATAAAGTGGGTTATAAGAAAGAGAAAGATATGGAAAAGATAAAAATGGAACCTAACACAAGAGAGTGGCAAAGGGACTCCCCAGAATGATGGTGAAGGTATTGGGACATATCAGGTGTGATCTGAATATCCTGAGAAGACAATTATAAAACTGGTCTAGAGAGTTTAGAGGTGAATTAATGATAATTATTTTAAAACTAAGCAAACAACTTATGACTTCAAGGAAAACAAAACAGAGGACAGGAAAATCAGATACAGCAAAATTTGTGTTCACAAAAATATAAGCACTGAATTTTTACCTAACAAATTACAATGTAACTATAATGAAATTATAGTGCAACTACTAGGACAAAAGGGTAGGAAAAGATACTGTTTGTTGTGGGGAAAAAAGGAGAAAAAAGGCAAATCCTCCTCTTCCATAGCTGGAAGTTGATAGAAAATGCCTAAAACTGAAAAAACTTCAAGTTGTAATATAACCAAAGTAATATGCAGCTAGGGAGGCAATCACCAAAAGAATCAACGAAAAAAGTTTGAACTGCTCACCTCTAGGGGGGAAAAACAGGTAGAGAAGCATGCAGGGCACTCATAGCTTTTATTAGAATTTAAATAACTAGAATTTTAAAATAATGTGCATATATGTAACTGATTTTTAAAAACAACTTTGAAAAAGAGAAAGGAAAACAGATTTCTCATAGAAGAAATTACAAGGAAAACAAAGCTATGGGGAGTCAAAGTTTTAAAAAACGAAGTATACTTGGTATATCAAACAATAAAGATTACTTAACTTAAAGAATGGAAAAAAATTATATATGAAACATTGGCACTAAGATAAATTTTCATCCAGAAAACTTTCCCTTTCCTAAGCAATGACACAATGAAAACACATTTTATTTCCATATCTAATGTTTCAAGGTTTTTACGACAGTCAAGACATTAGCTCAGGACATGTGTAGAGTATTCCACTCAAATGCTGCCTGCTTTGAAATCCAATAACTCCCTTCGTCCACGCCATTATCTGATCTCATGGTAATGCTCCTATTCACTAGGACTCTGGTTCAGAATCGTCCATAATACTCTAATTCCTGTCTTCAACTCAGGATTTTAATATATCTCTCCAGCATTTTCAACTTCAAACAATTTATATTCCTTAACTCAAGTGACTTTAATTCACATTTACTTCAGCCACTCACAGGTACATAGATAGGACAACTATCCCTGACTTCCAGCTACACAGTTATGTCTCTCTCCATCCTCTTGAAACCATACTAAAATGGCAGAAGGAAGTTAAAAGAAAAGGTAAATGCCCAAGGAAGAAAAAAAAGGCAAAGAAACAATGAATAAAATATTTCAACACTCTTTGGAAAACAAAGAAGTAATGTTATATCCTAAGTGCTTCCAGAAGGGCACATTTGTAAGTGAATCGATTTACCCTGGAGAATCTTCAAAAGTGCCAGAGATTGAAGGTATAAGAAACCACACAAAGAAAGGTAAAACAAGGCTTTAAAAAAATTGTTAAAAATCTCAAAAGGAAAGAGGAGACCCCCAGCTTCCCTTCAAGACCTTGTATAACCAGGCAGTTAATTACAACCCCCATAAACAAAAGAAAGAATAAATGAATAGAAAGTGACACAAATGAATAAATGAGGCAAAAATTTATGAAAAACTAAATTTTAAGAGAAAAAAATAATCACATTACACTACTGCCTCAAAAGTGAACATGCCATAAATAGTATATAAATAGTATAATACTATTGATCTAGCCAATAACTATAACATATGGACAGGCTTAGGGAAAAGAAGGTCAAGGAAAAAAATCAACTAACCTAAACGGATGTTAGCAAATAAACCATTTACACTGATAAATCAAGCATCAGTAGTACAAGCACAGTAGCTGGAAATCTGGATGTAATTACCCAGAGTAATGGCTAACTAAGTAAGAGCTAGTGGCTGCCCTGCAGAACACAAAAAGGGTGGGGAATGGGGTGGAGGTGAGGAGCTGCTCATTTTGTTTTAAGCCTGTCAATGTTGATTTTCAAAACTATGTGCATATATCCTTTTAATTAATTACTTCAAAAGCTGCAAAAAAAAGTGCTGTCTAAAAGTCATAAAGATAAATTTCATATACTAAGTTACTAGAACTTTTCATTATTAAAAGCACATCTTTCATTAATTTAATACAGCCTGCATGTTACTAACATTTCATAGAGACAGACTATTTTGCTAATAGTTAAATATTTTGTTATGACTATCAATTGACAGTTTTGTATAATGGTCATTTTACATGGGGGGAAGAAAGGGAGTTCTAGAACCCTTCCCAAAATAGTTTATTTAAATGATAATAAATTTTAAGGACTCCCTTCTTATCATAACCCCACATAAGCCATAAATATTAAAGACAGAAGTTTCGTTTTCCTAAGTATATGAAAAGTAGTAACTGTTTAGCCTGCTTTAACACAAGCAGTTATTTTTCTTGACTCAACTATAGCATTTTGTATACAAAAGAAACTTTCTGAGATTAACTCTTTCTGGATGTTAAGAGTTGATATTTTCTGCTAATATTTTAAAACAATTCCATCTAAAAAACAAAATTACCTCTGGATGAAAAAAGATTTCAGGTCCCAAGAATCTCTCATAACCAACATCAATGGAAAATTCTTTCTTTGAGATAGCATTGATTCCAGTATACTGTTTAATCCACTTTGATCCATCTGTGTCATACTTGTTAAATTCTTTTACTAAATCTGGGCAGACATAACTATAGCGCTCCTAGGAAAATCAAAGAAACAAGTAATATTTTCCTCTTGTTTTAGGAAAAGTATAAAAGAATGGCATATTTTCAGTAAGCTAGAAACAAATTATAAAAATCTTCAGAAAATAAAATTAGGAAATTCATCTGAAGAAAATTTTATGTTAGAGTTATTATAATGAGTAGTACAAATAAACAGCTCATCTCAAACACATAATTCCTGGCTCCATAGATCAAGAGAGTATGATTTGACAAACAGAGTCAAGTTCTACTATTTCAATGTCACTTCATAAAAATATTAATGTCATCCAACATTTTATACCATTTCAGTAATTAATGGAGTCTATATTCTAGAGAGAAGAAAGCATAAAATACGCACAAAAATGAATAATAATAGTTGATATATCCATACAAATTACTATAGATCCTTAATATCTACATGGAACAAAACAGATTATGCTCAAAGTAGGCAAAAGAAAAAAGGCTGAAAATATAAACTATTCTTTTTCACTGTATTGCGTGCAATGCTGAATTGCTGCATATTTGGTTGTATGTCCTAAGTAAAAGTTTTCATATAAAATGCAATTAAAAAATATTATAGGTTATAACATTCTATTTGCAATTTATGGACTCCTGATTGCAAGTCTTATATTTCTTTTTATGGAAAACCACACATTTCACATATTTTTATACATCAAGGATTCCACCTAAGATAGATACAAACATTATTAGTGATAATCAAAAGACATAAAGGGAATGTTAGAAAACAAAGGATGATTTGATTATGCTATATTAGGTCTTATTTCTCCAAACCTTGGAGGTAGAAATTACATAGAAATAATGATCCTTAAAAACATTCAGACTGAGAGCATCGGTATTCTCTAGAATAGATTTAAATCCTTGATGTTTTTGTTATTTTGTAAAACTCCGCAGATTTCCCAAAGATGTTGAAACAGTAGTGCTCATATTAATTTTTTATATATTTATATTGATGCCACCAATGTGGGGTGACTTTTGGCAGCCGTTTAGTAATTTCTTTACTACCTAGAAAGTAGTGAATTCATTTTCATTCCTAACTTATAGAAAAACCCTGGGCCGGCCGAGTGGCTCAGTTGGTTAAGAGCTCGCTCAAGAGTTTGAGCTCTGAGCAACAGCGTTTGATTCCCGGCCCAAGCTGAGCAGCCGCTAAGCTGCCAACAGGTAGCAGGATGGCTCAGCTAAAAAATAATAATAATAATAACAATAAATAAATAAATAAATAATTAATTAATTAAAAAACCTATTATCATGTAAAAATAGACAATTTAATAAAGTTATTTTTCCCAGAGCAGTTTTGCTTTTACATATTCAAAACGTGAGAAATCCACTGAAATTTTTTAGGTATGTTGACAAATGATAAAATTTTACAACGCAATGCTAAGTATTTCAATAGTTTGTATGAAACATTGATACAATACAGACTTATGCAGCATACAAATTATTAAAATATCTTAACATAGCCTTCACATTTTTCTATGTGTCATATCACTTGAGCCAACTATTCTATAACCAAACTATTAAATTACATCAAAAAAATTGTAACATTATAGTCACGGAACGTGGAGTATAGTGTGGGAGCAGAGTCAAGGGAATTGTAATAGATATGTATGATATGGGGGCGAGGGGGAAGTGGGACAGCGGATTTGGGGAGAGGGGTTGCTACTCTTGAGGGGTAAAAATATAATTATTGCATTGTGTTGTACAGCGGAAACGAATTTTTAAAAAAATGTTTATTTCACAGTAAAAAATTTTAAAAAATACATAAATAAACAAAATAATTGTAACAGAAAACTGTTAGGATTAACATAAATTAGTGAAAAAATTGAGATGTGAGGACTCTGAAGTGAACTAATTTATTTTTACAACAAGGAATAATCACAAAAATATATGTTAAAGTCAACTGGTAATAAATGTTCTTATATGTCAGTCCTCTCAAATGTGAAATGTAGAGAGACTAGGCAAAGGGTTGATAATCCCCCCAAATTTCCTTACAGGAAATACATGGAAAACATATATATAATTAAGGGTAACGATTTGTAACTGGCTAACAAGTTTTTTTTAGTACTGTTCTAAAAAATTGTTCATGTTAATATTATAATTTGATTTTAATTTCTAACTGAATTACACTCTCATCATTATTTTACCTTTACTGCCTTAGCAGTTTCCAAGGATTGCTCTG